TATAGAATTTGGAATTATTTAACATTGAGCTAAACTAATTTTGAAGCAAACCATGATGGTGATTTTTTTTGCACACCGTAGTGAATGTCAGAATTTTGTGCTGAATTATGATGATTTACCATGATTTTTGCACAACATTTTTGGCGAACGTTAGAATTTTGTGGCCAATTATATAAAAATATGATGAATGTTAGAATTTTATGGTTTTTACAAAAATTATGACAACTGGCGGAATTTTGTGACGATCCCATAATTGTAAAATTAGCCGTTAGAATTTTGTGGCCAATTGCAAAAAGATTATGACAAACGAAAATTTGTTGTGACAATCACCATAACTTGTTGTGAAGGAAAATCTTATCCAAATCTATGAAAATCCTTGCAATCGTAGGGTGCTTGTGGGCGAATAAAGATCCAGCAAAGGCAGAGCTAGCGCACGGGAGGTGACACCTGTTAGATCTGATTTTAACGATGAAAATAATATATTTGCTCTTTGTATAGGAGCTCATAGATAGCATTGATCAAGGAACGCATGGATCGGCATACAAGATTGAAGGAATCAATCAGAGGCAATCAAGGAAAGCCGACGTGATTAAAGGAAGCAATTGATACTGACAGAATCAATCAAGGCTAAACTAAAGGGATCAAATAAATCAAGTATATCGAAGATCTTGTAGAATATTCAATCAAGTATCTAAATCTGGAAGGATCAAGATTCCGGGATCGCGCTCAAGGGAAAATCTTTAAAGCCTCTCGTTAGTTAGAGCCGTTGTGGAATAACCTTATTCTTGGAAAGAATCAATCTCTTTCCAAGGATCAAATCTCTTGGGTTGGCAAATCTCTCCAGAATTCAAGCCTCTCTCAAAGTATTTAAACTTGTAATCACACCTCAACACATATACTTTGATCGAACCAAACACCCTCTCTTTGTTCTACTGCAAACACACATTGTAGCTGTACTAAGACCTGCTGTGTAACAAATTAGAGAAGAAAGAGAGAACAACACTGGTGAGGCATTGTATCGAAAAAAACGAGTGATATAGGAACTGAGCTATTGGTGTAGATCACACCATTCTCTGTGTACTCGAAGAAACTCATTCACTGAAAAAGAACTCCTTTGCAACCCAAGGGGACTGGACTAGGATTCACATTGAATCCGAACCAGTATAAAAATTCTAGTGTCTTTAATTCCTGAATTTAATTTCAGCATCTTAAATTCTGTCGTTACTGTTATCAAGTTATTACATCTAGTCGACTAATTGAAAAACTAGTCAACAAATAGCAATTAAGTTTAAAAATAAACAATTCACCCCCCCCCGTCCCCNACTTGTTATTACCCATATGAACCTACTTCATGGGATCTCCAATCACATAGGTTGGGTTACCATCTCTATTGACAACATGTCGGCCTTAACCCCATCTCTTTTGAGGTTTGAAGAATTAATTTTCTTCCCACGGGTTTAGTCAGAGGATCGGCCAAATTAACTTCTGACTTCACATAATCAATGGAAATTATTCCATCTCTCAGCAGCTGCTTTATGACATCATGTCTCAATTTCATGTCTCTACTTTTACAATTATAAGATTTATTCTTTGCTATAGCTATTGCCGCTTGGCAATCACAGTGTATAGACACAGGAGGTAATACGTCCTTTATTAAAGGGATATTAGCTAAGAAGTTTCTTAGCCACTCAGCCTCAGAAACAGCTAACTCTAGAGCTACAAACTCTGATTCCATAGTCGATCTAGCAATGATCGTCTGTTTAGCTAATTTCCAAGATATTGCACCACCACCAAGGGTGAATACATAACCACTAGTGGATTTTGTCTCATCTGAATCAGAGATCCAGTTTGCATCACTGTACCCTTCTAAAGTAGAAGGAAATCCACTATATAGGATACCATAATTTATGGTTCCTTTCAAATATTTCATTAGTCAATCTAATGCAGACCAATGCTCTCTGTTGGGATTATGAGTATATCTACTCGGTCTACACACAACATAGGCTATATCAGGCCTTGTAAAATTCATTAAATGGATCAGACTCCCAATAATCTGAGCATATTTAGACTGAGCAACTGGGTCACCATTATTCTTTTTCAACTGAGAGTTAGCATCGAAAGGAGTGCTCAAAGATGTGACATTTAAATATTCAAACTTCTTAAAAAGTCTCTCAACATAATGTTCTTGTGACAACATTATGCTATCTTCACTCCTTATAACTTTAACTCCCAATATCATATTTACTTCACCCAGGTCTTTCATATCAAAATTAGCAGACAGAAATAATTTTGTACTTTGCAATATTTAAATTTGTACCAAATATAATATCACATAATCATTGTCTACAACTTTAGTATAAACACATTTATCCACCTCAACTGAAGAAAAACCGTCTCTCAGTAAGACTTGTTCAAATTTCTCATACCACTGCTTAGGAGCTTGTTTAAGCCCATAAGGAGATTTAATTAATTTACAAACTTTATTTTCTTGTCCAGGAACGACACAGCCTTCAGGTTGAACCATATATATTTCTTCTTCTAAATCACCATTCAAAAAAGCAGTTTTGACATCCATTTGGTGGATAAAAAGCTTACGTATTGAAGCTAAGGCAATTAAAACTCGAATTGAAGAAATTCTAGTCACTGGTGCAAATGTATCAAAATAATCTATATTTTGTTTTTGAGAAAATCCCTTTGCTACTAACCGAGCTTTATATTTATCTAAAGATCCATTAGGATTAAATTTCTTTTTGAAAATCTATTTACAACCAATATGTTTTGCACCAGGAGGTAAATCGGTTAAAATTCATGTATTATATTTCTTAATAGAATCAATTTCAACTTTTATTGCCTATTTCCAATATTTAGCATCTGAAGAAGATATAGCTTCAAAATACTTTGATGGTTCATTATCGACAAGAAAAGTTTGAAAATCATTTCCATAAGAAAAATAGTCTTTCCTAGGCCTTTTGCTCCTTCTCAGTTCCTCATTAGAGGTAATTTCATTATTTGTTTCAATAGGTTTATGAGAAATTTTATCAGATAATGAATAAATATATTCAAAGAACTCAGCATTCTTTGTCTCAATTATAGTATTGCAATCAAGCACATCACTTTTTAAAACAAGAAATCTCTATGCAGCACTATGTTCTGCATATCCAATTAGCATGCAATCAGCAGTTTTAGAACCTATTTTTCTCTTTTTAGGTTCAGGCAAAAGAACTTTAGCAAGGCACCCCCACACTTTTAAATATTTTAAATTAGGTTTATAACCCTTCCACAATTCATAAGGAGTTTTGCCTGATCTTCTATGTGATATTCTATTTTGTAAGTGACATGCAGATAGAATAACTTAACCCCACAAATTATCAGGAGCATTAGAACTGACTAACATAGAGTTCATCATCTCTTTCAATGTTCTATTTTTCCTTTCAGCTACTCCATTTGACTCACATGAATAAGGCGGAGTTACTTCATGAATTATTCCATTCTTTTCACAAAATTCATTTAGTTTTATAAGAAATAGAAGTATTAAATGCATCATCTTTATTTCTAAGCAAATACAACTTAGTATATCTGGAAAAATCATCAATAAAAGTCACATAATATCTTTTATCACCTCTAGTCATAGTCTGCTTTAAATCGCCTAAATCAGTGTGAATTAAGGATAACAATTCAGTTTCTCTATTTACAGAAAAACAAGTCTTTCTTGTACTTTTACTTCAACACATATTTCACACTTAATATTACTTGCGTCTAAACAAGATATTAATCCTAGCGACTACATTTTGTTTATATACGCCATATTAACATGTCCTAGTCTATCATGCCACAAAGAAATTGACTCAATCATACAAGCAGAAGAAGATGCCTTTTCATTGCTAGTATCAGAAATATTAAGCACAAATAAACCATAGTTACAATAACCATTGCCCACAAAAATATCATTTTTGGTCAATACGACCTCATTATTTTCAAATGAAACCTTTACTCTAACTTTTCCTAATAATCCCACAGAAACCAAATTGGTTTGGATATTAGGAACATGCAATACATCACTCAATGCTAGAGTTTTACCAGATGTGAGTTTGAGAAGAATTTTTCCTTTCCCAAGAACACGGATTGTTCTTGAGTCACCAAGATAATTAGTTTCTTCTCCTTCCTCAACTTGGGTGTTAGACAAAAATTCATTTTTGTTTGCACAAATGTGCCTAGTAGCACCAGAGTGTATCACCCAATCTCTCACACTGGCCACATTATTTATTTGGGAAATGATCGCAACAATTATATTATCCGCTTTAGTCAAATTTAATTTTGACTTAGTCGAGATTGTCATTTTAT